GGACCTGGGAAAAACTTCTTTTGGCAGCTCGGGCCATTGTTGCCATTGAAAACCCTGCTGATGTCAGTGTTATATCCTCCAGGAATACTGGCCAGGTTTGTGGAACAGTGCTTGGTTTTTACAGAAATAAAGCTTATAAACATTTTGGGATATATGAAAAAGGTATAAAAATAGCCCATAATCCCACTGTTCAGGAATTGCCAGTATTCAGCCCTTTCAGTTTATGTACTTGCCATCCAACAGTTTTGAACTTCATAGTTTAATCCCCTTACTATCTGAAGATGACCGTATTAAAGTGACTCATCACATTTTTTTAATAGTCATTTTTATGTTAAAGTGATAATGGGAACAAAAACTTAAAAATCAACAGAAAGTTTTTAGAATACTAGTTTTTGGCTCATCCAAGTCTCATAAGCAAAGTTTTTATTTCTTTTGCAATTTAGTGAAAACTACCTTAACTAGTATTTTTCAAAAGTTACTGGTAAGGTAAAACTTAATCTTTTTGCCTCAGTTCTGTCTTGATAGTTCTTTATTTTTTTCTCTTGGGAAAACTAATAGTGACTTTCTTAATTTTTTTTCTTTTTTTGAAACAGGATCTCATTCTCCTGCTGGAGCTAGACTGCAGTGGTGTCATCATAGATAGGTCACTACAACCTCAAATTCCTGGGCTCAAGCAGTCCTACGGCTCCGGCCTCCCAAAAGTGCAAGGGTTGCAAGCCTGAGCCACTTGGATTGATTTTTAGAAGTTCTAACAAAGTTTTCATTTATCCCATGATTTGAATTTTTACCGGATGGCTTCTCTTTGACAATCTTTTTGTGGGGGATGATTTTTGGTTTTAATGATTGTTGTAGAATTGAGTGACAGCTCATGCTTGATACAGCAATTTACAGAGCATCTAGATTGGTCCAAGCAGTGCTAGGTGCTTGGGGTACAGTAGAAAAACAGTCTTACATTTTGAAGGGATGCAAGGAGGAAGACAGTAAGGAAAGCTAGGTGTGTGCCTGTTTTATATAGTGTAGTTATGATTAAATTTGACTAGAGGCCAGAAGAGCTTATTGGGTGTCAGGTACTGTTCTGTGTTAGGAGTATTCATTTAATTCTTTTAGGCCTGTGAGGAACTTAGTTAAATGAGTAACTTGGCTTGGATTCACTCATAGAATGTCAACTTGATAACTTGAAAGCAAGCAGTATGGTTTTGGAGCTTCTGGAAATGAGGGTGCCAATGCATCATTCCCAAGGAAGGAATTGGGTGTGGGAGTTCATTCTAGGCAGGGGCTTATAAGTACACTATAACAGCAACAAAGCATAGCCGGGCATTGTGGTGGGCACCTTTGTTCCCAGCTACTTGGGAGGCTGAGTCAAGAGAATCGTTTAAGCCCAGTGATTAAGTTTGAGTTTGAGGTTGCTGTGAGGTGTGACGCTACAGCACTCAACTCAGGGTGACGTAAGGAGAAGAAACCATCTCTGGAGTACTGCTAACTCTTAATTTAATTCTTCAAAGCGAGCTGTGCTGAAGTTTGCTGCTGCCACTGGAGCCACTCCTATTGCAGGCCGCTTCACTCCTGGAACCTTCACTAACCAGATCCAGGCAGCCTTCCGGGAACCTCGTCTTCTAGTGGTTACTGATCCCAGGGCAGACCACCAACCTCTCACCTGCCTACCATTGCTCTGTGTAACACAGATTCTCCTCTGCGTTACGTGGACATCGCCATCCCATGCAACAACAAGGTAATGAGTTTATGATTTAGAGTTTCCAAATCTCTAGGAAAAATAGCTATTCCTGTGCACATTGTTAGAGCTTGGAGTTTAGGCCAATGGCCAGTGAACTCACAAGTGTAGGTAGTGTGCTACATGAGAGGCAAGTTTTTCGCTAACACCACAAGGGTCTCTGGCCCAATGAGTGAAGTTTGATAGTAATCCTTGCTACAAGTATAATGTTAATGCATAACAACATTGAGAACGTTGATGAAAACATTTGAAAATGGTCTGTTTTCTCCTGCCTTTCTCTGTATTTCTTGCTCTGCTCTGGCATTACTTGGCTTTTCTGTTTTCAGAATAACTTGGTGAATCCTGCTATGAGATTGTTAAAAGGTGGGTTGTGTGATTCAAATTGGTTCGTTTGTAACTGGCCTCAAAACCCTAGTTGTACATAAAAATTGTCCAAAGACTGATTTTCAATGTCAATGTTTGGCACTGCTCCCAAGTATCGTTTAGTTTCATAGTATGATTATTTAGTTGTCATGTTGGATCGACAACAGGTTTTAAGATATGTATGATGGGCACATGAGGGTGAATAAGGAGGTGTTTACTTTTGGGGGTTGACCGGGTATCAGTTTTTAATAGTTTGGCATTCTTGCAGGGAGCTCACTCAGTAGGTCTGATGTGGTGGATGCTGGCCCGGGAAGTTCTCCGCATGCGTGGCACCATCTCCCGTGAACATCCGTGGGAGGTCATGCCAGATCTCTATTTCTACAGAGATCCTGAAGAGGTAAACTTGGCACAAAACTTGGGGTCACATCGTCTTGGTCTGTTCTTCTAGGAATCAAAACTAGTCCCTATGATCTTGATTATTTGTTTTGTTTTGTTTTAAATAACCAGATTGAAAAGGAAGAGCAGGCTGCTGCTGAGAAAGCTGTGACCAAGGAGGAATTTCAGGGTGAATGGACTGCTCCAGCTCCTGAGTTTACTGCTACGCAACCAGAGGTTGCAGACTGGTCAGAAGGCGTGCAGGTGCCCTCTGTGCCTATTCAGCAGTTCCCCACTGGTATGTATCCATACAAGTGTGTTGATTTGGTGCTTGGGAACTTTTTTGTTCTAACTTTAATGGTCTCTGTGACTGTTACACTAGCAGTAAAAGGTTTTCATTACTATAGCTTCAGGTAATTTAGTAAGTCGGATCAGGTGCCTTTAGAATGTGCTGGCCTCAGTCTTAGTATCTGATAGAATGCAATGTGTATCTAATAGATTGCTGTCGGGGCTAGTGTGGGGTGAGGAAAGTACTTTGGGAACACAGCTGATGGCATTTTTGGTATTTTCTTAACAGAAGACTGGAGTGCCCAGCCTGCCACTGAAGACTGGTCTGCAGCTCCCACTGCTCAGGCCACTGAATGGGTAGGAACAACCACTGAGTGGTCTTAAGCTGTTCTTCCACAAGCTCTTAAGATGGAAATAAAGTTGGAGGAAAATAAACATCAGTTTTTAAAAATTGTGTCCATTTCAGACAATTCTTTTATATTCCACATCCAGAATACCTGGGGTCACTTTACATGTCTTGTAGATAAGTATATTGTTTCTCCCACTTGGTTTTCCTGAGATTTCTTTCTGTATAAGAATATCTGTCCTGGGTGGTGCTTACAGGTAGGTCAGTGGGTAGGGCACCAGCCGTATAACACGGAGGCTGGCAGGTTCAAACCCCTCCCAGGCCAGCTAAAACAATGACAACTGCAACAAGAACAAAAATAGCCCGTTGTTGTGGTGGGTACCTGTAGTCCCAGCTACTTGGGGGGCTGAGGCAAGAGACTAGCTTAAGCTCAAAGAGTTTGAGGTTGCTGTAAACTGACACCACAGCCCTCTACTGAGGGCGACAGTGAGACTGTCTCCAAAAAAAAAAAAAACCACACAAAACAATATCTGTCCTAAAAATAGGTCTAACTATTTGCATGTACCTAAGAGGTAACCCCAGGAATATTTTTGCAAAGTCCCTGATAATCTTAACTGTTTTATTACCATTTTGTTGGTAAATTCTACAGAGCTCAGTTTCAAACTAAATTGGCTTTCTGAGATGGAGGAGGGTGTCCAGGGAACAAGGGATAGAAAAATCTTGTTACTCTTGACACTTTGAAATACATTGTGGAAAACTTCTACTAAAGTCAAGGTGTAACTGGATCTAGTAACAGCTGACATCTCCAGCTCAAGTTGTACTACCTGGGTCCTGCACAAACCCACCTGCTTTGTGTCCAAGTATCCACTATCCAACCGAGAGGCCTTATTTTGCCTCTTGGCTCTGGCTCCTGCCTTGTGGTAATCCCACAATAGTTGAATAAATGATGTCTTTTTTCCTAGAATCTTAACACTAGGGGATAGGCAGTGTTGGTGTTTGGCAGGATTTTTCGCAGACGTACTTCCTATGTGGCTGGTTTAGCTTGTCCTGGGCTCTTTTCACAACCTTATTTCCCTGAAAATTAGGGCCTGGTCTCCTGTGTTAACCAGTTGCTAATGGATTCTGGCCCAGGTCTCCAGTCACCACACACAGTCTTGGGAGATTTAATGGCTACAGAGCCAGTTGGCTCAAGCTATTACAGTTTGCAATAACTATGGTCAATTAAGACTTTTTTTTGAGACAGTCTCACTATGTTGCCCTCAGTAGCATGCTGTGGTAGCAACCTCAAACTCGGGTTTAAGTGATTCTTTTGCCTCAGCGTCTGAGTAGCTGGGACTATAGTTGGCCTGCCACAACACCTGGCTATTTTTATCATTGTTTAGCAGGCCTGGGCCAGGCTGGAACCCACCAGCCTCAGTGTATGTAGTCAGCCCCCTACTCACTGACCTATGGGCGCTGAGCCTCAGGCTTGGTTTCTCTTTGCCTGATGGTTCCCTTCTGATGGGGGGTCCAGCTCATAAGTGATGATCTCTGTGCCCCTTAGTGTTTTTGTGCCACTGGCAACTTTCTGCTGTTTGCAGCCTTGAGTTTTGATGACTGTTGCTATACCTGGCTTAAGGTCATTGCTAGGTGAGCCAGAAGCCCTCTTTCCCTTCACTCCCTGGCACTGCATTTAATTTGGTCTATGAGCCTAAATTCTCCATCTTCCAGGAGAATAGAAATAGAATTGCTTTGTTCAGTTTGATCTTAAGAAATGTGGATTGCTGTGAATATTACATACCTTAAGGTTTTTCCCAGAAATAGAATTGCTTTGTTCAGTTTGATCTTAAGAAATGTGGATTGCTGTTACATACCTTAAGAAATTGCTTAAGAGGCTCGGCGCCTGTGGCTCAAGCGGCTAAGGCACCAGCCACATACACCTAAGGTGGC